TCAATAGATTTTATTGTTATTTTTATTATTTTTTTTATTTTTTATTTTTTTAATTTTATTATTGTTTTTAAAAGATATTCAGGGAAATTGCAGGGAAATTCAGCCTTGACTGGCCCTCACCTCCTAGAGCATTGCTGACTATCCCTTTAGGCTTATCGGCAAAGCCCAAGGAACAAGGTTTCATCTATAAAAAGGCCTTTCCTTCACTGAGGCAGCTCCTGTCTACATGCAGCTTTGGCTAAGAACAACATTTTCAGTAAATAAGCAAGGGACACCAAGTTGTCTGCCCAGAGCCCACACTTCACAGGCAGCCTTTCCACCTGAGTGATTCACCAGCACTCTCTTCTGCCTCCCACAGGGCAAAGGAGAACAAACAACTTTCTGGTTGAAAGGCAAGGAAGGCTTTACTATTCCACTCCCTCAATTTATGGAAGAGGAAGCTAAAGTCCCAGAGATCTTCTGAGCTATTTGCTTTAAAGATGTTTATGGGGTCCCATGAAAGTCTGAGGACCATTCTGTGAGATGCATTGAATATCCCATTCAGGAGGTGTAGATCTGGGGGAGCCAGTAGGGGGAGCCATCTAGCTGGCCTCCCCTTCCTGCCCTAGAGTTCTGTGGCCTAGACCAAATGAGGAGTTCGAAGAGCTGGATATAGTGAACTCATTTTCTGGGCGACCAGGGCTGGGCTGTTGCTCCCAGACCTGCCAGTGAACTTGTCCTGGCTGCCAGATATTTCCGGCCTATTAGCTTGTGAATTTGCAGTGAACCCAATTTCATTCGGAGAGAGAGGAAAGCTAGAACAAAACCTGGGGCTGTTGGCCCCACCCTGTGCTGCCTTCCTTTGCAAGGGGCTGATCTCTAACCCTTGGTTATCAGAAGGCATCTCAGGAATGTTTTGGGGGGGGATAAAGCTCTAGCTAAGGTGCGAACAACCACTGAAATCCAACAGGATCAGGCCATTCCAGGTACGCCATATCTTGGCAGTCAGTCCCTGGAAAGCCTGGTCCTGAGCTCTGATTTTCTGTGAGCACAGCAGCTTTCAAATGGAAATGTCCCATTCTCAATTTATTGCTTAATTTCTTTCCTATCCAAAGCGAAGGAGTAAAGATAGGCTTTTCTTCCAATCAAGGCTTGAATTTTAAGTGGAATTTTTCATTCACTTATGAATTGCTATTTTTTTTCGATCTCTGATAGACGAAGATGAACCCATCCATTCTGCAATACACATTTTCCCCTTTACATGAAGAACAGGATTTCATCATGCCTGTCAAGTGGTTTCTTGTAGTAGACTTACTGAACCACTAATGAACTTACAGTCCTTTTTTTTTTTTTTTTTTTTTTTTGATCCCTTGCAACTCCTCACATCAGTTTTTCTTCCTTGTGGCTGCTCTTAAATATGGGAGAGTGCTTCAGATGATATATTGTGTTTGAGACCTTTTCCTGGTGAATTTCTCATGACTGGAAAAGTGAGAATCAATGAGACTGGGAATGTTTTCTTTTGTACGTGACCTGTGAGCTGCCTTTGTAGGGATATTTTTGATCTCTGTATAGGAAAATAAGCTACTTTTTGGTGAGTTTAGAGCCGTTAATAACACATTTTACAAAAAGTTTGGTGGAATTCTTGCCTTTTTTAGGAAGAGAGACACTAAATAGGGGCCAAGGGAAATGCTTTACAAACAGTCCCATCTTCATGGAACTACTCTGTGCTTCCATTGGCAGGACTTTGCTTCTGCCCAGAGAGAGGCGACTGAGCTCTAGGACTTTCACAGATTCCATTCTCTCTAACATGATCCCATTTTTTATTGTGGTGAGATCTGCTCCTCTCTCTAGGCCTTTCATCCAAGATTGAAAGTATTAGTCAAAAGAAGGCATTTATCTGAAAGTGACAGGGGAGCTTCCCTTGCTACCTCAGCATAGCGACAATGGACCAATATTTGTCTTCTCATCCTTCAGGACTTCTTCCCTTATTTGGGAGCAGGGCTTCTGGATTCCAAACGCTTTGTTCTACCATGGAAGGGAATAGAACAACCTCTGCTATGAGGTCTTTCAGAGAAATAGCCCATTCCCCATCCATCCATCCATCTATCCATCAATATGACATTTCATTTATTCAAAGAGCATTTTTATAGCACTTACTCTTTGCCAGGTACCATATGGTGGCTGGGGTGGGGTGAGGGGGTGGAGGGAAGATGAGGATATGACACTTTCCTTGATCTTTAGCTCTCAGTTTAGTTGAAGAGAGGTGACACAAGTTTTAGTACTGTTATATTAAGGACTAATACAGGTATATACCAAAGTATAGGGAACTAAGAAGTCCAATGTTGTTGCATTTAAAAAGCATTAGAAAATGATACACAGATGTAGGGGTAGGGTGGGACATAAGGATTGTCTAATATTATCCCAGCTTTGTATTTGTATGTAGTATGTGTGTTTGTTCCCTTCCAGCTCTAGCCCACGTGCTGACGCAAGTAATGTTTATACAATAAAGACTTTGCTACTTCTGTCTTTTTCATGGAACATTATAAACATTTGGCATCTACGCTCATACAAACACATAATACATATATCTACACATGTGCATCCACGAACATTCACATGTGCACACACATGTACATGTATACACACATGAATGTCTGTCTAAATCTGTCTCTTTTGGTTGATCAATAGGTAAAGATTCATGTGTGTATATTCAGTATATATGTGTATATGTATATATGCATGTCTGTCTATTTTTTCTTTATATTACTCAAGCTTTGAGAGAGAAGGAGAGACTTTAAGGATCATAAGCAGGAATTTGATAAGATTAATTTCCTAAAATCTACATCCGATGTTTTTTCTATGTCAACCAAGGATACCTAAGGGAAAATATACTCTTTATTTGTTCTATAAATATATCTTATGTTTGACACTCACAAGAATTTATAACAGGTTGAGTGTTTTCTCTTAATTCCTTGATAGAGAAGTTAGAAGATACGAAGGACTTTAGTTAACCTGAGATTGAAACATTTTTGGTTGTTGGTGATTGACGTTAGGGCATTAGAGACGTGGAGAGCATACAGATGGCTTTGCCTCCTTGCATCAGAAACTGAATGCTGGAAGTTTTGGAAAGTAAATATAGGGTAGAATGATGGAAAGTCGGTGGTATGTATGTGAGTCTAATAAGTTCTAGTTGTAGGAACCTCTGGGAGGGTTGAGGAGTTGGCTATCAATATGACATATTAACACTGTAAGCTGTAGCCATAGTTTAATTATTTTAAGGCATTTTATTTATTCCATAGCACCAGGTGGAGATACAAGATCATTAAACAATATGATAAAATAAGGCAAAACTAATACAGCATTGTTTTACTCTGACGGCCAAAGATATATGATAATGTCTCTATGCTATTTAAGAGTTTTTGACTAGAACCAATAAAATATGTCTTTTGTCCTTCCTGACTATAAAAATTCTGAGTTTACAGGAAGAAGAGATCGCAAACTAGTTGGAACTCCAGCTTTGAGACCAGTTTAAGCTTCCTTGAGTCACTTGAATCTAGTCTGTTGCTAAATAAACATTTACTCCCTGTGATCAGAAATTTGGGAACTAGCTGCATTTCTCAGTTTCTTAACACGGTTGTAAAAGCCCCAACAAACTACAGATCTCAAAACTTCTCAAATACATTAAACATGGAGATACAAACTGATGTGTTTTCAAATTATAAGGCCACTAATTAAGTCTGTACAAGACGAAGGAAGAAAAAGTAGAGCTCTGGCTTTTTCTAGCACATTCTAGCTTCTAAGGATTTGCCAGTTCTCTATGAGGATTGGTTCATTTACTTTTCTTATCCTGTTGACCATGTGCATCATTAAAATCAACGTCTTCTGGATCACTGGGGTGGCAGTATTATCAGGGTGCAGCACCACGTGATTCCACGGGCTGTTTTTGCATGTGTGTTTCTGACTTTTGTGTGTGTGTGTGTGTGTGTGTGTGTGTGTGTTCCATTCTAATGATCAGAAGTTAATGAGACAAAGACAGATACCTGCTTCACTGTTAAAGTAAAGGCTAAATGAAGTCAGTCCATTTGGTACTGATGCTTTCTTAAATCAAGTAGAAAACAAATAGTGAGAGCATCGAGCATCACAAGGTATACTGTAGGATTGGGAACTCCAGAGACCTTGTCACCGATGTCACTCCAGAGTCATGTTGCCAGCAGCAGGTTTCATTTAGGCAGTGCCACAGTAGGAGGTTAAATTTATGTTGATGTGAGTTTCATTCTTTTTGTAGCTTTATTCCTTTTTCATCTGTAATTTTCTTTTGATTTTAGAAATCAATCAAATATAAAAATGAGTCAGTTAATACCTCTATAATGTTTATACATATTGAAGAAACACTATAATAAAAACAAATTAGGTTAGCACTGGGGGCCTCTCAGGAATTATTTTCTTTTATAATACTCAGGTTTAAGCAAAACTATTATATTCCACTCTGATTCCCACATATCATCATTTGAAAGATTGGAACCCCCTGCCTGGTGGCTCAGCCCTGGTTCTTTAATAAGCATTGCACAACATCGGGGACAAAGGCCCCCTCTTGGCAAAATTGGCTATTCCTGTGCATTCTGTACTTAGCACTGACTTGGTGGTTATGCCCTACATTCTCGTCAAAATGTTCAGCTGCACTTGGTTGGGTGTGCTAGTGTTTTAAAATTAGAATGGCTTTCAAAGAAGTCCACTGCAGCCCTGACTTGAGCCTGGGGAAAGGAGACTTCTCGGCCAGCTGCCGGAGAGAGACTGTAGGATCTCAGAGCCACAGGAAGTCACAAGAGGAAGGAGGGCACCAAAGACAATCACTGAAAGGCGCAAAAATCATTGGAACACGTAATTGGCAAAGCGCTATTCTCCGCTCCTCAACGGTATGTTCTTCTGTTTGTTCTTGTTGGCAGCACAATAAATGGGAGTTTGTCATCGACACAGGAGATGATGTTGGGTGGAGGAGATGCCACTGCCTGCCTGGCGATCCCCTACAACACGGCACAAATCCCCAGCATCACGATGAGGTGATAGAGGACGTCTGGGAACCAGATAGGAAAGCAGACACAAACAGTTTACATGGAGCAAGGACGGTGGCAACAAAGAGTTAACTCAACAGAAGAGGCAACTCGGGGGCATTAAGTAGGTTTACATAGACCGCTGCACATTTTATACAAAATCAGTTTTGTTTATCTTTTGGGGTTTCCGGAGCTTGGTTTCGTCAGTGCAAGGAGCCCGGCAGATTGACCTGGGTAACGGACCTCTGACAGATGGGACTCTGAACATGGATAACACAGTGACAGCACATTTCACCATAGGGCTTTCACTGTAGAACTTCCTCAAAAATGAGGATCTGGAATTAGAGTCTCAAAAAGTTGGTTTACATGATTTCCTGTAATCGTGAGAGCAAAGTCTACATCTGTGAGTTTGTTAATAAATAGAACCGTCTTACCCCATCTCCTCACATAGTTGGTCTCCTTCTCATCATTCGGGTGAGATCTTGGGTCTTAGCTGAAACGTGTCTTCTTCTGAGATGCTTCCCTGGCTGCTATCTACATCACTCCTCTACCCCCACCCCGACGCGTCCCACTAGTGGGAAGGGCAGGGGCTTTGCCCATCTCTCTCTGCAGGAGCACCACTGCCTGGAGGAGTAATCACGGCTGATCTTTACTGGATGTTTGCCGTATGCTGGGCACTGGCGCCCGTAGCTGTAACATTTAATCCACACAGCAGCTATGTGTGATAGGAGCAATTGTTAGCCCAGCTTCAAAGAGGAAACTGGGGAGGGGAAGGGTGACTTCATTGCCCACGGTCATTCAGTTAATGAGGGGCAGAGTCATGGCAGGGACTCAGAAATATTTGTGCAAAAAACAGATCATTGAAAACCACCTTCTCTAAATGCAGGAACCCAAGCAAAGCCCCTGGTGATGTTGTGCTGAGAAGCGGGGTCCAATTCTGCCTCGTCCGATTTAGCCCCAGCCCCACCCTGCCTGCAGAGCTCTGGGGCCGGCTGGAGAGACATCTACCTCCATCCCCCTCTGTCCCATTCAGGTGTGTTTTAAACAGCAAGTTTCAAGTCCTGAAGGTTTTGTTGGGGCCAAAGGTGAGCCTCTTTTAAAACACACGTCTACGTTGTAAAGGCATTACCCCATGACGTTTCCCAGAAGTGCCTCTTTTCCTTACCTGAGAAGCTATAGAGACTGGGGAATCCCCTGCCTGTAATGAGTAAAGAGAGAGAATACTGAAGATTTAAGGAAAGGTCATGGAAGGAGCCTCAGAGCGATGCTTCTTAAGTACAAACCTGACCACATCTCCCCCTGATTAAACCAGCAGACTCCCATTGCCTTTAGGATCAAAGTTTATAGTGGGTTTCATAAAAGCTTCTTTGAGAGGAGAAGAAAATCATTTTCTCCTTGGCTTTCTCAGGCAGGAGTTGATGAACTTTCTGGAAGGGACCAGAGAGTAACTATTCCAGCTATGGGCCGTATGGGCCCTATTGCAACCACCTGATGCTGCCGTTAGAGCATGAAAGCACCTGGAGACAATACCGATATGAACCCACGTGGCTGTGTTCCCATAAAACTTGATAGAAAACTGAAATTTGATTTTTTTGTCATGTATACGTGACACGAAACGTCATTCTTTTGATTTGTTTCCAACCCTATAAGAAGGCCATGGCTCGTAGGCCCTAAAACATCAGGCAGCAGCCTGGATTGGGTCCCTGGCCGTAGTTTAGCAACCGTCCTCCAAGGTATGTAGCTACTAGAGGCCCCAGCCTTCCCGCAGGCCCTGCTCACCACTCACGTCATACCACTCTTCAGGTTGTCCTGAAGGATTACTGACGGAGGTCTTCCCCGGCCCTGGACGGGGGTGAATCCCCTTGCTGTGAACTCCCATGGCACCCTGCCTCATCCAGCCCCATTGACAGTCATCTGCCTTTCCCTTGGCATTTAGCAACTCTCTCCTTGCTAGATGTAAGTCCTTGAAGACAAGGGCCATGTGGGTCTCCTTTAATTCTGAAACCCCGGCGCCCAGCCCTGCCCAGGGTCAGCACTGACTGCTCTATGAAGTTTTGTCGACTTGAGCTAGATGTCCCCGGTACATTTCATCGTGTACTATCATTGTCGACCACATGCTCTGCCCGGAAGCTCAGAATTTCCTGATTCCTTGCGGGCATTGGAATTTAGGCTGCAGATAGAACGTTTCTGGGTCGTTCACAAGCCTCAACTTCTTGGTTTGGCATGAGCTACAGCTTCCCGGCCCCCCAGCTGGGAAGCCTTGAGTTGCAGGTGCAGGTAGTGTCTACAGGCACAACTGGTTTGGCAATTCAGTGAAAATGCTCAAACCGGCTGTGCCTGTGGACGCAGCCCAGAGTGAACTCAACCATTCGGAAAACAGAGAAGCTTACTACGGAGGGAGAGCTCCACTACGAGGACGCCCCCTGTCTGGTCCCGAAGGAGTCGCTTCCGTTTGTCACAAGTCTGGAGACCCAGGAGCAGCAGAGGGGAGGGGCGTGGAGAAGGGGGCCCAAGAAACGAACACAGGAGAGAAAAGAGAGAAAGACAAGAGATTAAAAACAGAAGTCACAAACCTGATAGTCAAAATTCCCCAGCCAACAGGTTAGTTACCTTATTTGTCCGCTTATGTATTTACTTACAACCCAGAGCCAGAGTCCCTTCTCTAACTTGAGAAGAGGGCAAAGCTTTTCTTTATTAACTCTTCAGGCTGGAAGAAATCCCTCTGGGAGAGGTTGTTGGGTGTGGGAGGGCTTGGCACTGTTTGTTTTGGTAAGCAAGGCTTTTACCCGCGGTTACTGTCATTGGACACTTGCAAATGTGTTCTGATTCATTTTCTTCTCTTTTTAAAATATAGTAGCAATAATTACGCTTTCCTTAACTGTAAAGCATCTCTCTGCTCCCTCCCTTTTATTTGTATTCCTACCTGACCATTTTCCAGCCAAGCAAATCAGTAGAAATAGAGATCATAATCTTATTTTGGTTGGTTACTACAGGCTACATGAGCAGGTGTCCTCTTTAGAAACTCTGTGTCCCTCCTGACTGGGGTCTCTTATCCAAATAGACCAGAGCAGGCAACACTCTGTGATTTAGCACTTTTAGGTCTAAGACAGTGGTTCTCAAACCTGAGCATGCCTCAGAATGGTCTGTTAAAGCACAGGTTTCTAGGCCCACCCAGTGTTTCTGAATCAGGCGGTCTGAGGGAGGTGAGAATTTGCCTCCCTAACAAGCTCCCAGGTGACGCTGAGGCTGCCGCGGACCACACTGTGGACCAGCTGATCTAAGGACCAGGTTCACACCTGGCAGCAGCGGTAGAGTGTCTCCCAGCTGAACTTGCTATGCGTGTTGATGGATTCTGCAGCAGCTCCTTGGTGGGTGATGCAGAGGGGAAAGCTGACCCCCGGCATGGGCTGCACTGAACGTGGCTGTGAAGCAGGGGCGTCACCACCAGGCCCTTCCTCTCCCAAGGTCAGTTCAGCTGTGATGCGTGTCGGGAATTTCTGCGGTATCTCTGTAGTTCAAGTCCCAGAGACGGACCATTAGGCTGGCCAGGCAAGAGCTAAAAATACCCACCTTTTGACTTCCATCCAGTGCCTACTGCTACCGCCTAGGTTTTGAATTTTCCTTGTGCTTTTAACCGTCTCAAGGTATTTCCATGTCTGTCGTTGTACTCATTTTCCCTAACACAGCTGTCTGAAGAGGGAAGGGCCACCATGACTTATCACCACTGTCTTTTTTTTTTTTAATTTTTTTTTTCAACGTTTATTTATTTTTGGGACAGAGAGAGACAGAGCATGAACGGGGGAGGGGCAGAGAGAGAGGGAGACACAGAATCGGAAACAGGCTCCAGGCTCTGAGCCATCAGCCCAGAGCCCGACGCGGGGCTCGAACTCACGGACCGCGAGATCGTGACCTGGCTGAAGTCGGACGCTTAACCGACTACGCCACCCAGGCGCCCCTCACCACTGTCTTTAAAGATGAGAAAACCAGGCTCCAGAGATTAACATATGCTAGACCATGTAGCTTGTTGGTGGCAAGGCAGACAGAGCCGGAAGGTCTGCCCCCATACCCAGTGCCCTTTCTTCCAGAATGCTCTCAGCACACGCGTACATTGGTCTGGTTACGATTCCCAGCTAAAAATACAACTTCTCAAATTCCGCCCCCACCCCCACCTCTGGTCACATCTCTTTCTGGAGAGAGGTGGCTCACCACTGGGCAGGAGAGCTTCTCACTGTCACAGATGAATGTCTCACAGTGTAACCAAACCTTGGAGAGTTTGGGGATGTTCTGGAACCGGAAAGCGTTGAATTGGAAGGTGGCTCTGTGATCTTTCCCATTCTCATGTACAAGGACTGTTTCATCTGTGGGGCAGCTGGAGCAGATGGCACAGGGGGAGAGAAAAAAATTACCTCGTGAACTCCAGCGAGGTCTTCTGAGGTTAATTCACAGACAACAGCAACACTCCCTTGAGCTTCTATACAGTACGTTATCCTCACAAAGCTCTTTGACTGGCAGCACCTTCCTTACCCTCATAATATGAGGTCAAGTTGAGGAGCTATGGGATGGGTGTGCTGGTCCTCATTCCATAGGGGTGGAGAGGAGTGAGAAGCTGCACACCTGGTAAGTCACCATACCTCTGTCCCCAAGAAGGGAAATCCTTGAGAGATGAAGTCGACTGAAGGACTGGGACATGTACAGACTCCCAGTATATGTACAAGATAAAGACACTGGTGCTGAGAAGAGTGTTCCCAAAGTACTGCCATAGCCACCTAAGCCAAGTCATACCCAACATACTGCTCTGTGTACATTGTGAGGGTTTGCCACTGGGAATTTGAATTTATGTTATATTATTTAAATTCTGCATTATATCGTTACCTTTGTAAGAATTTGGTCATGTTTCTGATATTGGCATAGGAAAAAAATGACTGGAAGGATACCATCTAAATATTAACACTGGCTATAATGGAGTGGTAGAATTATGGACAGGTTTTGCTTTCTTCTTATATCTTTATATATTTTCCAAACTCTCTGCATGAAAATGTAATATTTGGGAAATTCCAAAGTCCCAAAGATAATCATTGCAATAGAAGAAACAATAATGACACAGATGGGCATTTTTCAAATTGCCCAAAAGTCAATGACTCTCACTGGGGGGCCATTTTGCGCGCTCTGAAGACATTTAACATTGTGGTTGTCATGATAGGGAGACGGTGGTACACATGTAGTAAATAGAGGCCAGGGATGCTGCACATCATTGTACAATGCACAGGACAGCACCCCGCCCAACAAAGAATGATCCAGCCCAAAATGTCAATGGTATTGAGACTGTACCTGGTTTAAGCAAAATTGCTTTTTCACTTACCGAACAGATGCTGCTTCCCCATTTAAGTGCCAGACGTTCAACAAAGTGTTGGGAACAGACACAGTCATTCTTGGGAATATACAGTGAGGCCCGCATGAGCTTTGGGAATTGTTGTCTTTAGGTGACAAGGAACACCAGAGTCTGTCCTCTGTGGAAAATGGTCTATGGGCCCAAAAGCTTAAGACCAGTGGATAAACACCACAGTGGACCCCAAAGTTAATGCCTCTCCCAGAACATCTCTCTGACTCCATTGTCAATCCAACTCAGTGTACATATACCAGAGATCCACCCAGCTACCTCAGAGCCTTCGAGATATGCCCTCCTCCATCCATTCCATCCAAACCAGACATCAGGGGGCAAATTAGAGGTAGGACTGAAGGAATGTCAACTCCGTGAGTTAGTGATTGAGATGAGAAGTGACAGTGTGCCTCATATCTGGACCAGGGGTCAGAAGCCGGGCCGTGTTTGTGGTGACCTCTGAGTCATGACAGAGCTGGAGGCATTTTCCGAGTTGTGAAACAAGACCTTGAAGGATCATTTGTTCAATAAACCTGAGATCCTTGTACGAACTCAAGACGTGAGTCCTTAAAATAGCTCTTTGCAGCTGGAGTGACACCATGCCAGTGGAAAACAATGTAAGCAGAGCTTTGTTGGGGGTGGGGAGGAGGCAAGTCCTGGGCAAGCTTAGATGTCTTGGCTCTGCCGCCTCTTGGCATTGGCTGTGGCACCTGCCCCTCTGTGACAGACATCTTGGGAAGACAGGACGCCCAAGGGAAGCTGTGACAACATCACCACAGGAGCCCCCTTCCCCACATAGGATCAAAATTCCCAATAATATATCTCTTCTAATCTCTCCGGGCACTCTTGAAAACTGGGTTTTCCTCTAAAAGGGCCCAGTGGAAACCTAAAGCATCTGGGAGATTATGGGAGTGGACTTTCTCATTCCTCCCCTTGGCACTGTTTTTTTGTGCCAGTATCTCCAACCTCAAGGGGTCATTTCAGCCAAGCAGAATATGGAACTAGATTAGGGCTTCTTCAGTTGGACTCTGCTTACATGCAGGTTCCCAGGGTTTGCCCAGGAACCCTCTGACGGGGTAGGTGAACTATGTGCCTGCATGTGTAACAGGCACCCAGGGTGTGTAATTCCCGTGCACACACAGTCTGAGCACTGCCGGTATAGACTACCACAAGGGCACAAGCCTTCCTTTTTTCCTGCTATTTTACCCATCGTTAGCTGAGAGTCGCAGTACCAGAATGATCTGCAGGGAGATGTTTCCATGGTATGCCAGAAACCTTTACCCCCGTGTGGCCATTGCCTGAGAGAGGTTTCAGTGCCTGATCATAATTTCAGGTCCCTGTAGGCCAAGAATTTATTTCACAATCTCCCTGAAATCATCTGATTACACCATTGTCCACAGAACCTAAATGAATCATTCAGTGACAGGTGTGACATCCAAATTAAGCTCCCATCTCTGCAGGAAGATTTCTGGGTTGTGTAGATGTGATTCTGCTGGCCTGTCTTAACTACACTGCTCAGGAAATAATGCTGCGTGAGTTTGAAGCCCAGATCATCTATTCCCTTAGTGACTCTGGACTTAGGCAAGTTTCTGAAGCCGTCTCTGTCGCTGATACTTCTCATCTGTAATATAGTGCTTATTATACTATCTACTATATACTACCTACTATATTATACTCCCCCTACTATTGGGGGGGGGGCGCTGATGAGATTAATTATATACTTTTAGAGAGAGGGAGAAAGAGAGTTGAGGGAGGGAAAAAAGAGAGGGAGAAAGAGAATTTCAAGCAGGCTCCACACCCAATGCAGAGCCCGACACAGGGCTGGATCTCAGAACCGTGATACCATGACCTGAGCTGAGATCAAGAGTTGCTTCACTGACTGAGCCACCCGGGCGCCACTGATGAAATTTAACTAAATTAATATTTATAGAGCACCTATCTAGAACATGTTTGGTCTGTTGTAAGTGCTGTATAATTTTTAGGTAAGTAAAAATAAATAAAGGCCCAAGGTAAGGTGGCTCCACCCTTGTTGTCTAATTATTTTTGTCCGGGGCCCCAATATTGACTTAGCTCAGATGGGTTCCAGCAACAACATGGATGTGCCTGCCTGCTTGGGTTTGGGGAACGGTCTCTTCTGTATTTACTGTTCTTTGTGTGGCTGTTGCCCACATCTCTAGTCTAGCTCAATCTGTCCTCTGTTTTTCAAAGCTACAATTTTAAGTGTTTCTAGACAATTACCATCTCAAGCTCAACATGACATCCCTGAAGTCAAGGATAATCGAACACCCTTAGCCAGAAATCTTCTTCCCTAGCAACCAACAGCAAACATTCCTCACATTCACAACCCAGAGATTTGATGTCCCATATTTCTCAGGCTTTTTGCCCCATCCTTCTCTCCACCCCATATCCAATTGGTTGCTAAATTTTGATCACTTCTCCCTCCTTTGGATGACCTTTCTATTCACTTGGCTATGCCTCAGTTTGGGCCACGGCCTCTAATATGGTCTTTCTACCTCCCATGTCCTGCTGCTAAACCATCCTGTGGATGACTTCCAGAATCATCTTTCTATTGTACAATTCCCATACTTTTGTCCTCTACTCAAAAATGTTAAGAACTCTTCATTATCTACTGAATTAATAATAAAAATCGACAATATTATTTAAATTGATTGGATACTGACTAGGTATTACATGCTAAATTTTTTGCATGGATTATCTAATTGAGTCCTCACCAGGGTTCTGGTGTCAGACTAATTGGATTTGAACCCACTTTGCAATAAACAGACACACACACACACACACACACACACACACACACACACACACTATGTTATATAACTTATATTACTTAACACCTCCTGTGACTCAGTTTTCTCACCAGAACAATGGGAATGGTAGGTAATAACCACTACCTCTTGCAAGGCAAATGAGTTAATACATAATAAAGCTCTCAGAACAGTACCTGGTACCCAGAAAGCACTATATAAAAGTTTGCTAGCATCAATACTCAGTGTGGAAACACAAGGTGTCACTAATGTGACCCTAAGAAGCTCCCCCTTTTCCTCCCCAGCTATTCCAAGCCAAAGTAGCCTTGGGTCTACCTGGTGCCCTTCTCGGCACTGTGCTCAAGGGAGTGGTACTCACCCCTTATTGATCAGCTGCCATTGCAAAGGATACATGAAATCAGCCGATGGTGTGGCCCAGCAGCTATTCAAAACCACTTTAAACCTGGAAATGAAATAAAAGGCATCCCTCTGAACCAGAGAATTGTATGCCTAGAAACATCTTGGCTGATCTTTTTTCTTTTCTTTGTATTTAAAAATATAAACATGGAGGAAATATACTTACCTAATGCTCAACCCCTTGGCTTCTACTCCCGCAAACAGATCTGAACCGATTTCAGATGTCTCCAGGACAAAAGGGGCTTCCTTCTTAGTGGAGAACTTGGCATTCTTTAGAAGGAAATTGACACGGGGCATTACAACCTCTCAGACTGAGCAATTGAGCATGACAGGAACAGATGAATTGGGGCGGAGTGGGGGTGGGAGTTCCCCAAAAGGCACAGGCACATGAGACCACAGAGAGACCCTCCAGGACTAGAGAAGGTGTACCTCCTAGGATGCTGGTACCATCTTAGAAAGGATGAGGCTATCACATCTCTGGATTTGCTGGTCACAATGAGACAACACATACTGTATGTCTCATCTGTGCCGATGAGGAACAAGATTTGGCTGATGGAAAAAAGGTAGAATCCAAGAATGCTGAAGCACTGAGCTTTACTTAATCACCCACGCGAATAGGGATGAAACACATGCAACCCCACTTTGCTCTCGCTCACCTTGACTATCTACCCGAGCAGATTCTAGCGTGGGTCAGAAAGCATATGATCTGATTCCAGTACAATTAACAACACCGGCAATAACAACAACCTACTGATTACCTACTAAGTGTCAGGCGCTGCTCTCCATATTGGGATAGTCTTTCATAGAGATGTATCTGAGAACAAAGCAAAGATCTCTGTCTCTAACCACCTGACTTTCTAGCAAGGGATGCAAACAATAGACAGCAGGTAAGTAAATTACATAATATGCTAGAATAGAATATAATACCTTATATAGAAAAACTATATGTGTGTGTGTGTGTGTGTGTGTGTGTGTGTGTGTGTGTGGTTATCACTTCCTCAGGCAGTTCTGGGTGAGTTAAGAAAAATAGTAGGGTGTCCAAATGACTTACCCAAAGGAGACTGACTTCTCCATTCATTGCCCTGGTTTCATTCAACTTTAGTAGCAACCTTTAACTACTCTCTGAGTTTAGCCTCCAGAGACAAAAGCCTTCTGACAGAAGCACAAGGATCCTGGGCTAATTCTAGTGCCCACTACTAACTTACAGGCAAATCAGGCTTTTGGGCCTCAGTTTCCCCATCTGCAAAATGGGAACGTCCTGTGCCTTCATCAGCCTTGCAGAAATATTTTTATGATGGTGATTTTATGTAATAGAAGTATAAAGCCTAAGCCAGGGTACTAGTTAAAAGATTGACTTTCATGGACTTGGAGGTAAATAGTGGCAGCAAGGATATAGTTAAAATGGACTCTAACCCCCTAAGGGTCAAATTCAGGGCATTTGCTGAGAGGTCTTAGATTCATCTTCCAGGGGTCCTTCATTTTTAACTGATTTCAGGTCCAGCTAGGGCTCCCTGACTCAGTCACCTAGAAGTCAGTTCTTTTCTTTCAGTCAACCCCCTGCACCACTCAGATGGTTGCAATAATTAAACAATAACATTCTTAATCATAAGTGATTTACCAGCATAATATGCAGGTAAAGTGGCAGATTGACAATGACCGTTCCCGTTTATTGTTAGTTTCTGGGGTCTGTCATGTTTCAAGAGACTGTTTACAAATGTTGGACCTAACCTGGGGACCACAGTGAAGTCCCAATGTAGCCACTGGTGCTTCTCCCACCCCATCTCCCAGCGATCATCCCAGGGTATCAGGGTATTGGAATAATGCCTCTACTTGCAGAGGAGCTAGTGTGTTTCTGTTACAAAGTGAAGAAAAGAATCTGCATCATTAATTCCATTTCTGAAACAAAGCACTTTTAATGGTCAGTTTCTCCACTTCTCACCCTACAGCTGAGGCTATTATCAGTGTAATCTCCTCCTACTTTCTTTAGAACATGAGTTAGGGACCTATTTCCAGATAGCTTCATCCTATAATACTCAGACTGTATGTTCTGGCATTCCTGGAAGCACAGAAACACCACATAAATTACCCATTCGCTGAACAGGATGGAAGAACACCTTGAAAAATCATGCCCTCTGGTCCTTTCACTTGGCAGAAAGGTTGAGTCACAACTGGCTATTGACATGGTTAGGATGGGTACATCTGGCTTAATGGCAGTTCTCGTGGGCAAGAGCTGAGAGTTGCTGTTGCTTACAAGCTCAGTGTGAGATAGAAATGAAAGGAAACTGTGCAAAGCTAATATCCCAGAACATGTTCCTAGAATCTTTCAGAACTGAGAAGGTTACCTCTGACCCGCTGTGCCCTGCATAGGTCAGAAAAGGTCTAGAATATAAGATTTCAATTCCGGGCTCCACTTTTTAATAAAGGCACTGGCCAAGTGGATCGTTCTTAGAGAAGAAGGAGGAAGAGGATGGTAGAGCACCAATGGTGGAGAGATATTGGGGTAGGCAAGCCTAAGAGAGTTGAAGGGCCGTCAGCAACATCACGACTCAGAATTATTTCAGAAGACAGAACCACAAGCAATGGACTGTAGTTCAGGATGTCATATCTAAAATGCTGATCTAAAATGGGAAGGGTCAACTTGCTCTTGTCCCTGAAAGAGGTGGGGAGCCCACACCTTAGCAATCTTGCAGGAGGGCTTTGGACTTTGGGTGCAAAGTCAAGGTTGATCATCTCTTAAGATTGTTCTGACTTTGGAAGTCTATGAATTTGACCTCTATGGCTTGCACTTGTTCCATCCCATGCCTTTTTACTGGTCTCTGTCTAACTAGGAAGAAAGGTCAATACTATTTCGATCGAATAAGTCAACCTAGCCCCATACTGACATTGACGGCATAAAGGCAACAACATTCTAATGGCAACTGCCGGTGCTAGGAGCTCTCAGAGTTTCCACTTTAAATGGGGTCCCAGGCCCCAATCATGAAAGTAGCCCCAATTGGCTACTTTCACAGGCACCTACCTTGTGTCAGGTACTATGGTAAGTGCTTCATAAGAATAATTTTATTTAATCCTCATAATAGACATATGGGGTAAGTGCTATTATTAGTTTTATTTAGCAAAGGCATAGATGAAGGCCTAAAGAGGTTCACTAACTTACCCAAGGTCACACAACTAATAAACGGTAGAACTAGACTTTAAACCAGTGGGTCAATGACAGACTATTTTCTTAAGCACAGTGGTAGTCTACTTCTGCAAGCTGACTACCTTCCTTTATTTTGAATTGGGGGCCAAAATAACTTCTCACTGAGAACACCAACTATGGCCTGTTGGCAGGAGTGAGTGGGAGGGGGTAGAGAGAGAAGAGAGGAAGCATGTTGAGTAGAACTGGTGGTTTTGGAGCCCAGCATTTAGAGCCCTTGGAATCCTAAGCAATTGGCGGTGCATTGATCCTTTGTGCAATCTAGGGCACAGCTCAGTCTCTGGTAATTTGATGGAAATGTATGCAGGGAGCAGCTGTTGCTTCAGAAACACACAAGAATGCTCTCAAAGCGGAAGAAGGGAGGAGAAGAAAAATACCAGCCGCATGGGTCAGGCATAGGAAACCCAGACTATGGTAGGAATACTAATCAGTACAAAAGTTTCTGTTGCAACATCTGACTCCCTCTTTGCTGAGATCCGTTTGTCCTATAAAGGTCTTAATGGGTCCCAGGAGATGCCTTAGCTTCACTTCTAGAACAGCTCAAGGAAATGTCCTGTTATGTCTGTCTGTCCAGCCCAGAGTATGGTCTGGGTGATGATGAGGATATGACATTTAATTTTTTTTTTCTTAAAAAAGTATAGGTTCCTTCCAGTTCTAAAATTGGATTTTTATGTCTGAAACAGTCTAACATGGTTGATGGTGAGAGATGATTTTTGATAATCCTGGTGCCTTTCTATTGCTAATTTCATAAAATCTTTATAGGATCATATCTATAATTTTATCTGGTTAAAGTAATAATCATGCACATCAGGACAGGGACTCAGTAGGAAAGACAGCCTGTCACCATGATCCCCCCTGAGACTGTTGTTGATGAGTAAGCCTGTTTTTCTCTCTGGACAACCTTCATCAGTTACTCAATGTTGTTGCTACCTTTTCATGCCCCTGCCAGTCCACACTGCATTAACTGTCCTGATTATAGGTCCAGGGGCTAATGGGATTTCTTTTTTCGGGACTTAACCACTAGTGGTTTGTTGTCAGGGGCAGATCTAGGTTCTTTGGGACCTCAAAGCTTATATAATTTAGCGAGTCCTTTCTAATAAAAGGAATCAAAATTTTGCATATGAAATGAGGCCCAGGGCCTTAAAGGAAGCCAGTGCAAGAGAGAGAGGTCATGAAACTTAAGTTCCATCCCCTTCATAGGAAGTAAGCCTCAGAAAGCAGTGCTAAGAGAGATCCGTATGCTAGACTGGGCACTGCTCTGAAGTACCTGCGGGATTGTGGGCACATCATTTCTTCCTTCTGGGCTTCAGATCTCTATCTGTAAAATGGGCCAAGTGACTCTAGGATCCCTCCTAGAGGATCTCTCACCTTCTGAGTTCAGCTGGATTGGTGGCTTCCAGGCAGGCGGTAAAACAAGTTCAAAGAGTTCAAGGTCAGTGGAGTTCCAGGTAATAGAGTCATTTCCTTTGTGAAATGAATGGATTGGGCGTGATGGCTTCTAAAGATATCTCCCAGTTCTAATGTTGTATGTAAAAGTTTCTATTTCTGCCTGCATCTTCCTCCAGCCAGCTGGAGTGTCACTATAAGTATGCTTCCTCATTGGAAGCTACAGGTTTAAAAAACAAAACACCCCTTCTAAACAGGAGGGCAGCTGGGCTAATGGCCACTGCATATTTAGTTTTATTTTGAGAGACCAAATTATGCCTTGAACTTCAATGTCAACATAGGCAGTGTGCCCAAATTAGACCAAGAGGAAGCCCACTATCCGAAGGGCTTTGGATACCAAAGAACTAGGCAGCAGAGGGCAACCCCATCCTCTCTCCTTAGCCCTGTCCCGGGTAGAAAGGTCACTACTCTGTGCCAAATGCTTTAACAAGAACTGGATGCTAATATAAATCTCTGGAGTGGATTGCGGTGGAAACTAATCTTGCCTAAGGGTTAGATGTTGGCTGACTTACTGCCTATTGACCTTTGGCCACTCACGGGATTTCTCTTGCCTCAGTTTTCTCAAAATCTGAGAAGGGTAACTTTATAGCTCTATGGCACCTCTCTCAGCTCCTCTATCCAGGCTATGAATCTACCTTTCTGTGGCATCTAGTCTTTGAAGAGATTTAGAACTAGACCAAAGCTTGTCTCTTCATTTCAATTCAAGAATGGGGTTCTGCATAGAGCTTAAGGAAAAGCAAACTTGGAAGAATTATCCTGTCATCTCCTGGAAAGGCCACAGGGCACTAATGAGAACCTGGAGACCACTTACAGTGTAGAAGTTGAGAGACAATTGGCTTTCAAATGTGCCCATGCTCCCGTTCTTCACGTGAACAGTGGCCACTCTGAAAAGGGGAGAGAATTTTGCATAAGGACTGAAACATGCCTGATTGACAGGGACTGCAGAACACACACAAGGCAGCCAGCCCTCCACTCTCAGAGTGACTTACCTCTGGTCAAAGGCAGCCTGGTTCACCAAGTAGGTGGAGTGGTAGGTGCAGGAGAAGGAGTAGTTCACGGGCTGGTTCTTTACGATTACTGTGCTGTCATTGGAAACGATGTGGCTGTAGAAGTGATAGATGGGGGGCTTGTACTGGAGAAAGGAAGAAGGCAGTTAGGGTGGCCCTGGACCCCATGATGAGAATGAGGGTTCTGGAAGAAGTGATAGAAGATGGTCAGACCAATAGGAAGACATCTGTGTCTGCCAGTCATTGACGTCCGTGCCTACTCTTTTGGATGTGGGTTGACTGATAATGTTTGTAAAGAGTTCTTGAATACGTTCAGCTAAAATTGTTTAAAATAATCTGGGTTGAATGTTGTACACTTACAAGAAACCCATATAGCCATTGGGCTTCTGACCAAGAAGAAGTGGCCAAAGAATCTCTGTTTCCCAGCATCACCTTTTTATCCATTTCCCCCGTCCAAGTAATCTTGCATGAATGCCTTCACTCATCTCCCACTTCTAGAACGTTATTATCTCGTGCGTTGCTTTTTCCTTCTGCCAATAATAAGTACTATTTCTGCGACTTTTTCCTCTGACTTGTTGAACTCCAAGATCACAGAATATTGAAGCTGGGATAGATCTCGAACATCCATGTGAGAGGTGACCAGCCTAAGACCACACTGATGATTTCTAGCTCATTCTTTCAGGATATTCAAAGACATGATGTTTCTGTTAATCATGTCCATGACTCTCTGAATTCCTGAATCCTTGCGGGGCCTTTAGGAAGAGGAAGTGGCCCTGGGTGCTCTTTGCTCTCATTTGCTGAGACCTTATTTATGTACAATCTTGTGCAGTCAAGGCAGTAGGAATGCTAGGGGTCAGCAGTGGCGCAGTCTCCCTTCGTGACTACACCCCGACTGGTTCTGTGGCCCTCAACTAGTGACTTTATTGGGAGGTTTCCAATGTCTCCTCTATCATCTAAGGATTTTTGGCAAGAGGGGGTCTGTGGTTCCTTTTAACTCTGATTACCTGCTCCAGGTGCTTCATGAGACCCAACTATGAACTGTGTTACACTTTGGTTACTTCTTTAAAATGCACTTCTAACTCTCTTTCATCACCACTTCAAAGTCTCAGGCAGAGGATGCCTCACCATCCGGCCAGGGAGGATGGCGCCTTGTGAGCACATGCTCAGAACTCAAAGCAGGGTGGACGTAGGAAATGTACACTGTTCTACTCATAGAAGGTTGCCTACGTTGCTCAGGCAACAAATTAGGAGAATAAACTTTATCTTATTTTGGGGGCCTAGTTTTCTTAGCAACTCTTCATTGTGTGGCCTGGACTTACCTCGGACTGGGTCCCACAATAGGACTTGTTTTTAGGCGACAAATCTGGGATCACAAATTGATAGTAACCTCCTTCATGGACCCCATTGTAACACAGCCCACCAAGCGCCAGCTGATGCACTTCCCAGCCGTAAGGACACTCGGGGATTTTGGTGATGATGGTTTTGGGATAACAAAACACGAGAATGACATCTAGAAAGAGGATACACATGGTTTGAAATCAGATACGGTGATCATATCAATCTACATAAAGAACAGCAGGTTCTAGCCACACATGAACATGCAAAAGAGTTGGTTAGAAACATTTTCCTCATTATCCTTCATGAGCTGTGATGAATGCTTTCCCAAAACCTCGGGACTCAAAATTAGTCCCCTTTTAAGCTTTGATCTATTTTAAAGAATATATCTGTGAAACCAGACTGAATGGATTAGAAATATATATAAATTTAGAAATATATACAAATTTCCATGGCCATGAAAGTGAGCATGTAACTTAAAATTTTTTAAAATGTCCATTTCATGCATAACATCATGAAACACTATTTTATAGCACAGAAGTTCAATAGTCAAATAGAAAGCAGAAAAACAGTGGTGATTTTATATCTATCCATCTATCTACCTATCTATCTATCTATCTATCTATCTATCTACCTATCTACTCATCCATCCATCTATCCATTCATCCATCTATCCATCCATCTAGGATTCTCTAATTTTAAAAAAGTCTATGTTTATCCAATACATTTTCACTTCCTATGGGAAAAATCTCATTGGCACCGGAGTGCTTAACAACTTCTACTTGACCATGATATTGAATTTTGATAACAAGATAAACACAGAGCTCTGAACTTTGCAAAGAAAAGCTTCAGGAAACTTTCCAGAAAGATGGACGGGCACCGGGGCATACCTGCTTTATTCGGAGTGCAAGATCTTGCAGAGGCTTCTGCAAAGACAGCCAACAGGACAAAGGCCCTCATCACCATTGCTTCTCAGAACACACTCTCTGCCAGGCGGCCAAACCAAGCTGGCCAAATGTTCACAGTCCTGCCAGAGCCCGAGCCTCGATCACTCTAGGTCAGAAACATGAGCGAGAAGTTAAAATCAAGGGTGAAAATCAAGCAGCACGCACCGTTGGGGGAAATTTCCAAGAGAGATCAATAATTCTGTCCCTCTTTCTTAATGGTTCCTTGTCTGTGCTGAGAGGCAGAAAGTGGGGCTCATACCACCGGGGACGTCAATGACACATGCGGTTGCTTATGTTTCTGACTGTTTCATTCTCTCTGGACTGTAGAGGCTGTCTCCCAGATGCTCCCCAAATCTCCGGCTTCAGTCCTAGCTCGACTTTATATCAGCTGAGGGTGTAAAAGAAACCGGCTCCAGATAAATCACAATGAACACGCATTATCCACTGTGGAGGGAAATAAAAGGGAACCTTGCACAATAATCCGATAGGAAGCTCAGTTACAGCTGCTTGAATCTAATTTATTTTACTTCACAGAGTTGTGAAAACTTTTTTTTTTTTAAACTGCTTCAACCAGGATTGGAATAAAAAGTTGAATTTTTCCCCCTCATACAAAAAATAACGGTGATTGGAGGCAAACTGATTTCTGTACAGTTCCAGGTGACAATTTTCTTTCTTTACGTCTTGCTTTCTTACATTCTTGTTTTTATATGTAGGCTGTCTCAACTTTAAAGAGGACCCAAGTTCAGCTGTGTTAGACCCGCTACTCAAACAAAAATACGTTGTTTGTTAACGCAAACATGTGAAGGGTTTTTTTCCCCCTCTAATATTTTTTTAATATTTACTTATTTATTTTGAGAGAGTGGCAGAGAGAGGAGAGAGAAAATCCCAATCAGGCTCCATGCTGTCAGTGCAGAGCCCGATGCGGGGCTCAATCTCACGAACTGTGAGATCATGACCTGAGCTGAAATCGAGTCGGACGCTCAACTGAGACACCCAGGCGTCCCTCCCCTCTAATATTTTTTAATAAACGCTGAACCAGAATATCATTCTGGCATTTCTCTAGAACTTATCCTGAAATATAACTTTTTCTTTTACATCTGCAGGCTTTTAAAGTTCTGTTAGGGGGCGCCTGGGTGGCGCAGTCGGTTAAGCGTCCGACTTCAGCCAGGTCACGATCTCGCGGTCCGTGAGTTCGAGCCCCGCGTCGGGCTCTGGGCTGATGGCTCAGAGCCTGGAGCCTGTTTCCGATTCTGTGTCTCCCTCTCTCTCTGCCCCTCCCCCGTTCATGCTCTGTCTCTCTCTGTCCCAAAAAAAAAAAAAAAAAAAAAAAAAAAGTTGAAAAAAAAAAGAAAAAAAAAAAATTTTAAAGTTCTGTTAGTCTCCCAGAGCAATATTAGAAAGGCAATCTTATAGCTCAATCCTTTATCACCAAGCAAGATCCCACTGAAAACGACAGATAAAATGCTGCTCCTGGGAAGTTGCTGAATATGTTACCTGAGATTTTTGGGCACCCAGAAATTTAAGAATGAAAAATCAGGGTTTGTTTTAATCTATGTTTTTAGAAGAAACAGACTCTTTTTATCAATTAAGTGAGGGTATGTTGTGTGGAAACCCCTACATAAAGCCCTTCAAGAGACGGATGTAAAAAGTGCAGAAAAATGCCCTGCTTGGCAGGGCTTTACAATGTAGCTGAGAATCTAAGTCACCAAAACACACTGACTCAGAATCAGAATGCTGGGCTAACTCGTTATTTGCTACTTACCACATTTCCTTAGTTTTAAGATACACATCCCTTCCTCCAAGTGTATGTAATTGAATGTTGCAGAAACACTGGGATGTGTTTTACAAGCAATATGTATACATAATATGGTAAAGTTTCCTCACTTCTTAAAAACCTGTTGTTAAGTTGGGTTATGTCTTACAACAACGATGTCTAAGAACCAAGGAAGTAGCCATGTGGCAAGTCATTAAAAATGTCTGTGACTCAGTTTCCCTCTCTCTAAATGGAAGCCATAGGCCTGGGCTTACGTCACAGGGAGGAAGAGCAATGAAATGAAGGTTTTTTTAAGCTGTAAAGTGGTGGATAAATGGTAGATTACATGAGAAGACAACGAACAATTTCGTGCGAATGTCTATGTCCCGGAGTTGTTTTGTTTTCTCCTCAAAGAAAAGTACCACAATGTGTTGTATCCTAGATTCATTTAACAGGAGACATATCTACATTGTATAGCAGACATGCATGTATTTTATGGATAAAGACCGAGTGGGCTGAAGAGGGAAGGGGGGATGGAACATAATTTTTTAATCTATACACTTGGATCAAGTTTCATGTGGCCCGGAGAGACCAGCATGTTTATAGCGATCTCCACAGTTCATTACAGGCGTTACTTCCTGAGCACAAAAAAGGGCACGTGACTTTGACAAATATGTGTGAATTCTCTGAGTTTCTCTTTTGTAGGGTTTAGCACTAACTCTGTGCTTCTTCCTCCATCCTTTTCCTTAAACATTTGAGCCCCAACAGTATACCATGCCCTGGGAAGACACAGGCAAGTCAACTGGGTGGGAGGTGAGGGATGCGCAGAGTGATGGGATATGGGATGTAGGATGGAGAGGAGGGAAAAGGGGGAAAATCAAGATGCTTGGCAGAGGAATTACCAAGTAAGCCAAGTCACAGAGGCCCAAAGCAGCCTAGCCCATGGAGCATGGCCCCTCTGATTCAACATAATGATCGCTCATCACTGATAACTCAGTATTGCTCTTCCAGGTATGCTGGGATATTTGTTTCTATTTCAAAAAGGTTCTTCTCACACATCTTCAAATACATCCTTCCTTTCAGCCGACTTTGGCCCAGGTAGGTCAACAGGATCATCTTGCCTCTGACTTGGAAGGGCAGCGTTCACTCAAGGAAAGTGTTGCAGTGGAAATCAAAACCTTTCTTGTCTCCCAGTGGGAATGTCTGGTAAATGCCTATAAGATGCTGTGAGGCAGAATAGGATAGGTTGGGCAGACAGACTCTGCTGTTGGCCTGAGATCAGAAGTCCATCAATACCATTTACTAGCTGTGGGTTCTTGGGGAAGTTACTTAGCTTCCACGAACCTTAATCTCCTCCTGTCCTAAAAGGATATGAATAATATCTATGACATAGTTTTAGAGTATTAAATGAGATATAAATCATTTTACAGAGACCTGGTTTATTTTCCTCTATAAGGGGCAGGGCATCAGGGAGAACTTGTTTTATGCTTTGTTCTGCTTGGGAAATCCAAAGAGGGAAGCCCATTAAGAGTGGGTCATCACTGGGTAGTATATACATTATGGTCATCAATGCTGAATGGTGTCATATGTAACTAAGCACAGGTTGTGATTGAGAGATTATGATTCGGTCACATTTCCAGTTGTATGATTTTACACAAGTAACTTGACCTTTCTAAGCCTTCAGTTTCCAAATCTGTAAAATCAGGCTTCCTGTCTCCTATAGCCGTTGCAAGGACCTAATGAAATGATACATGTAAATTGCTTAGCACAAGTCTTGGCACACAGTAAATGGTCAGTAAAGTTTACTGACATTGAGTTTGTTCATCTGAGATTGGTATCCTCAGGCTAGGAAGACCTATCACTAGTGTTCTCGTATGAACTCTGGGCATTTTCTAATGGGAATATTTCTCTCTTTAGAAGCCCACCTTATCAAAGAGCAAGTGCTTTTGATTTCTAGAAAAGCCTGATAATGATAAGATCTTGCCTACAATTTCTTAGAGGTGGGGGCCCAGCTAACAATCAGGTATATGATACTCCTTTCAAGGGCAAGTTGAATGAAGTTGGGGAAGCGGAGTCAACTTTTGTGGCAGGCAGCTCACTAGATGTTGAATTTGCATAAGAAACAGAACAGGACAAAATGTACTTGGGCTGAACAGTATTTGATGCTTGCTCTGATAAAAGGTAGGAGGCTCCTATTTTTTCCTGGTAATTACCCACTGTTTCACTCCTCCACCCCATCCCTTCTCTGCTTTCCAACACCCCTCTCCCTTCCAGAGATGATGATGGAGTCAGAGGGAGGCCACTGGGGGATGGACCCCGGGGCAACGTCTCCCACTGAGACTTAAATTGCTATTTCTCCATAAAACACAGAAATGAAACTGATGGGAAGATTTGAACAATCCCAGGATCCTGAAAGAATCCAGTAAAGGGGATTTTATGGCAGACTCATCTGAAAGGTGAGCTCATCTTTCCTGTGCTTTTCTTTTGCGAATTGCCAGGCAGTAGGAGTTGTCTGTTCTATCTGAAGGTCTTGCATGATCTGTGAAAGCTGACCCAGACACCAAAGGGTTGCCATTTGCAAAGTTCCAATCAACATTTTCATTCATAGCTCAGAAATCATATAGGTGATGAATCATGATGAAAAACAAACTAGGAAGCACTTATAGTAACAGATGGTACTTTAGAAATAAAGCTAATAAACATGCATTAAAGTTTAAAAGGCTTCTTTATTAACTTATTTTTTAAAGCACACTGTTTTGAGTTCATTAAGTGTTGGCTTTGTTAAATGGACTCCATTGTTTCCTTTAAGCCCTGAATCAAGCCTTCTTCTACTTTGTGGGAGACTCTTGCCAATTTGCAAATGAGTGGGCGTTCCCATACAGGCTTCAATGGCTTACTCCTTGGGAATTAATAGTTCTCCAGAGAAAGTGGTGTTCCCCTCAGAGAAAATACACTTCATAAAGGAGAACTGAGAAGTGAGAAAAGAGCCTGTGCTGATAGGGCATCAGAAATTCAGAGCAAGAAGCTCCACCTCCCCCATCCCTCCCCAGATCCAGCAGCCACCATTTTCTGGGAACCAGACTGACCCAGGCAGATAAACTGGTCTTTCCAGGAGAACCTCCAGTCTTAACTGGCTAATCTCTAAGCAGGGGATAAAACCTTACCATTTTCTCAGGAGAGTAGAACCCATCAGCCCCTCCTTTGCCTATTTCCCCACCACCCTCCTCACCTCTAATTATATGACTAGAGAATGAAAAATAGCTCCT